TATTATTCGAATTTTTTTCTTTAGGTGTCCACCATGCCGTGCCTTTACTCCATTTTTAAGTGAAATTTATAATGAATATCATAAAGAAAAAAAATTTAGAATTATTTTTATAAGTTGTGATGCTGATGAAAAAACATTTAATGATTACTATAAGAATATGCCTTGGCTAGCATTAGACTATAAAGAACGAAAGAAAAGCGAAGAATTATTAAAAAAATATAATGTTACTGGAATTCCAAAATTAGTTTTAATTGATGGTGATACAGGAAAAATTATTTGTACTAATGCAGTTGAACAAATTCTGTATCTGGATCCTGAAGGAAAAAATTTTCCATGGAAATCAGCACAATAAAATTATTTAGATTTTGCTTTTTTTTTCATGTAACGTGCTACCTTTTCGAAATAAATACATAGAATATTATTAGCTATACTGCATGTGACTTTTCATACATTCAATGATGTGAAAATGTTATGAATAGCACAGTTTTAATTCTTCGAGTTTATATATATATGAATGTATTTCGTGAAAACTTTGTTGACTCTTTTTAAAGCAACTCTTAGAGAGTGTCACCAAGAATTTGCTAGAAATATCTCAGAAATCCAGTTAATGTCAAACTTGAAACTTGGATTCAACCATTCAACTACGGTTTAAGTATTTAATTCTTTTACTTTTCTACCCACAAACTACGATGCATTGTGTGTATTGTCATGTGTGTTTGTCTTTTGCGGCACAGACACTAAACGAGTCATGTGTGCGTTTCTGTTTTGCGAACACTTCAATACATGTATAATTGAAATTCAAGTTTTCAAATTTCACATGTACAGAATGGGTAAAAATATTATTTCAGGCGGGTAACACTATAATTTCAAATAGTATACATAACTAATTTTATACCAAAAGAAAGCGCGTCAAAAATGGGATTTATTGGTACTAAATGGTAAAGGTTATGAAAACTTTTTAATGTCGAACTTAAGACATTTTCAGAAATTTTATGCTTTTTTGGCGTAGAAAAGTAAGGTGCTATTAGATCTAAAACGGAGTAAATTTTTTTTCTTGGATATTTTTACATGGTTCGATAAAGCTCGGCGAATTCTACGAAACTGTATATATTAAAAAATCTCTACGCCATTTTTTTTTAGATAAAAAATTCAAAAAACTACTTGGAAAACCACAAAATACGTTAAAAAAACTTCTTTTTTCATATGGAAGAAAAACACTTGGTTTTTAAATAAAACTATCTATTTTCATTAGTTTTACTACCGCAGATGTTTCGAAATATACTTATTCGATGCAGCGTGGAAAATTGCGTCTAATGAATACATTTCGAAACATCTGCGGTAGTAAAACTAATGAAAATAGATAATTTTATTTAAAAACCAAGTGT